CATGACGTCTGTGTACAATGCGCAGTTTCAGTATGGACTTGACAAAACTTTGTCATGATCAAAATGCTCCTTACAGTAATGCATTAATATTTGCTTTAATGCAGTGTTCCCAACCCATGGATTATTGGCACTGCTGATCTGCAGAAATTTTTTTGCCAGTCTGCAGAAGATTTCCTGCAGCATAATACATTTATAAAAAAGTTGCAGTAAAATATGTTACCTTCATGCGAAATTTCAGAAACGTACACAGTGGCTGATATCTGTGTACTGTATATATCTGTGAGATGAAAAAAAACGATTTGATGAAATGAATCGATTTCGCGTGTTAATGAAGTAAACTTTAATATTCATTAGTTGATATATTCGAATGCTTCCACACGAAATGTGCCAATAACGACTGCAGTTTATGCTATCGGAGGGAATTGAAAAACTCGCGGTAAAATTTCGCGTCAGTTAATTGGCTGTTGAAAGTATGTGGTGGAAAATAAAAGTTGTCTTTTCTCTTTAAAATGCTTCAGACAAATTTTTGCCTGATGGAAAAATTGTTTTTAATTTTTCATTCAGACAAACCTTCCTTCAAGCCCACCTTCCTTATTTTTGAATACATTAATTTTTGAAGACGCTATAAAAAGCTGATTCAATAGTTAACTTAATTTTTGCACAAAATAAGCAGAAAAGTGTTAAAAATCTGCCATAAGTCTTTCAAGCAAAGCTTTATTGAGTCTGCAAAAATTTTATGAAACTTTCCTGGTCGTCTGCAAAAAAAGCCCTGGGCACAAAAAGGTTGGGAAACACTGCCTTGAAGGTAATTCTGCTCGCGGACGATCATGTACTGTAGATTAGTCAACTGCTGGTACAGTATCGACGATTTTCCTTCGAAATGGCGCTTATTTTTAGACTTGGGGATCGGAGGGGAAAAGCTTGTGTGGACATGTTTTGCGTTGGGTCAACTCATCGACCCCCAAAAAAGAAAACCGGGGGTGGGGGAGACCTCAAAAAGAACACACGCTTCGCGCCTCGTTTGCTCGAAACGAAGACATCGCGTGAGGTGTTTTCCAAATGAGTATTCGTTGTTCTACTTTACTGTACTTGCATAGGTTCAAGTCTGTCTATATTGAGTATATTCTCAAGATGTAGAGTAACGAGATTGTAGAATGCTCGAGATTGTTCCGCCTCTTCAGAAGAGCTTTTCTTTCTCGAACATCAGCATTTCGAGCGGCGTTTGAACTAGACGTGGTTGTGATCGTCACGAAGTGCTCCGAACAGAACCTTCGATTTTCCTGTAGAATTTCTAGGCATCTATACTGTTTAGTGCCTCTCGAAGCGCTTCACGATGAGAGGCCCGGAAACGCGCGAAATATTCCTTCCGAATTCCTCCTTGTTTGCCGGAATCATTCGTCATTTACGCCAGGAGATGTTTGAAGAGACGACGTATTCGCGAGCAATTGTCGAGAAAGGTGACGAGCGTGCAACGTAGGCTACACATGTGTGTCGATCAAGAAACCTGGGGTCGGGGGAATAAGATATGTTTGAGTTGCTCCGTGCGAATTATGTTACGTCGCTCTTCGCTGGCACTCGACTGTAGGAAAGGGTTATTGTCAAAGACCCGTGACAAATGATTTTGATGAAAAGGTCAGTTTCCCCACGTTGTTATTGTCGACATCTCGATGGATAGATGAGATGGCGTTGGCTGGCGGCACTTGGATGACAACTCTGCGCTTGTGATTATCTTGAAGAGCAGCAGTGACATCTCTCGCAAATGAGTCAGAAACTGGGTTTCCCGAAATTTCGAACACATTCTTCGGTTTGTGATAAACAGTATTATGAACAAAGCACTAAACCAGCAGAGCGGATTAAAAGTTACATTTAAAGAGCAATAACAATGCCAATTTTTTTTCTTCTTCACCCAACAATTAATCATGCTAAGGAAGAAAAACAAAAATTGGAATGCATCAGTACTTTTTAAATTTCAAAAAAGTTGAAATAAACAATGGTTCAAAATTTAGAATTGAAGCACTTTTTTCCTGGAATAAATATTATATAGGAATATTGTACTTGGGAATCAGGGATGAACCTTGTGCAACAGGGACAACTCCAGCTAAAATGGACAGCTTATGGACAGCATCTAACCCTGCTTAGACTAGTCTATTCTTATCCTGTCTTCAGACCTTAAAGCAGAAAATGAAAAAAATAAACAAAAGTCTCCTAAAATCTCGAGGTAATGAGGAACATCCTCGGATGATTTTTTTGAAGAGAAAAAAAAAATTTTGGGAAATGAAAAGTGCTTTTAGAAAAATGCAAAATGGACTTAGTTTTTGTTTGTGGCAAACGAAATAATAATTGGAAAAATTTTTACAATTATAAAAAATTCAGAAAATATTGTTCAAAAACGAAATTTTTCAATTTTTTCTAGAATTAAATTTTTTCGACAGCTTGTGATATGGATGGAAAATGCTTGCCAAAACAGGAAAGTTTTCACTTATTTTCTGGCAATACATTCAAAAACTTTCAACAAAATCTGAAAAAATCACTGAACCTTAAATTAGGATCAACTAAATGGTTTTTTTTTCACAGTGGTACCTAGTCTAGAAATACCCAAGATCAATCAGGAATGGGACAACCCTCGTATGTTAATTAACCCTGATATATACTAGTTAGCTAGTGGTAAATCTCTGGGAACAACGTTCAATTGAATTTATTTTTTAACCCTGGCCGTAAGTTTTTCAAATCAAATACAGTATAACAATGCCCGTACAAATTGGACTTCACTCGAAAGATGATTAAATCAGATTTACTTCCACGTTTCTTTCGACTAGTACGTGACAGACATCTCAATCACGTTAGAGGTTACTTGCTGTTCAGAAATTAATCTATTCTTTCTGGTCCAGCGGGTAGATTAAGCGGGTCGATAAATTGGGTGATTATCTTTTAAGTTCCTCGATGAGACGACTTTAATTCAACATTCCTGTGTAATTTCGACGTTCTACGAAACCGATTTCTTCGAATCAACGATTTGCCGGTGATGAAATCATTTTTGCTGCCAGCGTCAGATACATTGAAATACCACTTCGGGAAAATGATAATACTGTACGAAGGACTTCGGTGAGAAATATGAAGTGGTGTATGGCATTTACATCGTTCACAAATTTCTGGAGAGACACTCTGTTGTGTGTGTATATATGTATATAATTTAGTGACAGTAATGATGAGCACATTCGTCACTAATGTGACGCTTTCCTACGTTAATGCGCGTCGTGAATTAAATTTTAATGAACTCGATGGATGTCCCTTGAAATGCTTGAAATTGCTTTCAAGGATAAAGCAATAGTTCATTCGTGGCACCTATTTTTCCTGGATGTTCCATTGTACGAAGTAAAGAGACAAATAGACTTTCCACTTGAAAACTCGTGTTTTCCGTGAAGGATTCCTATAAATAAACCGTCGTCTCGGGTAATGATGGAATGTCTTCGGGATGCATCTATAACATATTGCATACTTGTAAAGCTGGTTAAATTATATTCACCCAGAATAATGTGTGCATGTGAATGGAACATACGTTTAGGCGCATAAATAATTTAATTGCCCTGGTCATACCAAATTAGATTCTCATTAAGGATAAAAAAAGAAAGCAGGTCTTGAGTCCAAATCGTTTCAATACTTGTTAGAGTATCATAATTATTCAACAACTTTCAAAATATAATGGCAGTATAGCTAAAATTGAAATGATGGCATAGAGATATAGATATTCCACAGTAAGTCTTAGTTTATATTAGGAGAGTAGAGCACTCGTTACGTCAAAACTTAGATCTTCGACCGAACTTTTAGTACCCGAAACAAAAGATGTGTCTTATGAAAAAAGGTAAAGATGATTACTCATAAGTCATAATTTCAAACGTCGTTGCACCACATTCGCAGTTTGAGAGATGGAAACTTTAATAATAAGGTACTGGTGGATATTCTATTTTTATTTATTGCCTAATTTATCCGCATTTTCAAGATTTACTGCACAGGCCATGTGAAAAAAAAACTGGCGCAGAGGAATTTTTAAAAAGGATCGGTATTTCGTTTTGCAAAGTTAGCAGTTATTCCAATTTACGTGCCTGAAATGAGGGTTATTTTGGTAAATTTTACATTATCAAGACGTATATGCGATTAATTTTGAAATATTTCTTCAACTGTCATCAGACATCCAAAATTTCTTAAGATTGTCGCACCATTCTCATGCTCATGAAAAAGCATTTTCTATATTTTCATCGATCACCATATGGCAAAATTATGAACTACCATATTAGTGATTCCGTTTTTTTATGAAAAATTATCCGGTGAACTAGTAAAAAATGCTATATCTGCGTTATGACATCGTACGATAATAGTATAATATTCAGAAGAAAAGGCTGTTTTCCTCGCGACTTTCAGTATTTAATGGTAGCCTGGAAAATCTACACCCTTTCGATATTTTTTATGGAATCTAAAAAAGTGTTCGACAACTCAGTCGCTAACAAAATTCAGGACATTGGAATGTGAGAGCGGGATGATCCAAAGAAAATGAGAACTTCGAAACTTCAGGTATAGATCATTTAAAGATTTGAGCTCATGAGAAAGACATACTTCAACGTATAGGTTATTTTTGTGCTTTTTTGCATATACTGTATAGGAATCATATTAAGAGCAGCTTGCGAACTATAATGATGCCGGGGGCCAATCAATAATGACCACGTTTTATTCTCGGAGAAACAATGCACTTGAACGTCATTATTTCTCTCGATTATCGAGTCCGGTTTAACAAGCATTTCGTCTGCTTTTATAGCACCAGCAGTTTGTCATCAATGGGGCAGGAAATATATATATGTATAGCAATAAATAGGTTTTTTCAACCAAGAATATAAGCGCGTTCCTTTCTTTTTTAACGTTCGGGCGTTTTAGTTGCAGTGCCACGACGAAGTAAAAGGAAGGGTATATAAGTGGGCTATTAACCCAGTGCGTGCTGCCGTGCTCCGTTGTTTTGCATATAATGACCCCAACATGCGGAGAATTTCGATTATACTCATCCTCAACAGAAAAAAAAAACATCGAATCCCGAGTGATGGTGCGACGAGTGCTGTTGCACGCGATAAGAAGAAAACTGCTCCCTCGATTTCCGGATACGCATATTAAAGGTGTCTACAAAATGGACGACGAGGAATTTGTAGCCGTGTTTGCAACACTGTCGGAGGCCGGAAAGAGCCTGTCTTTCAGGGCCTGCATCGGCGCCAGTTCCGACCGGATGCGCTCCCGAAGTTGCATGCCTATCTGCTTGATGACGCACTTTGCCATCTTCTTCATCTGCATGAAAATGCAAATCGAGGGCACTCAGTAAGCCGAGTGACGGATATACTGGGGTAATCAAGACTTTGGAATGCTGAGGAGCAACTCGCCGGATTTATAGAAGCTATACAAAAGCACAATCTGGGTAAGTACAGACGACGTACCGACCTGCTGTACTGTATATAGAAAATTCTAGTCGCTCCACAAAATCGAACACCGCATGCATTTTCATGTCCTCCATACTTTCTCTCGTAAATGTTCTACTCCAGAAATATGTCTAAAAATACATCACCGACGCTTGATGTGGAAAGATACTAAAAAGCAAAAACCAGTGCTGCCCAACATCCGACCCGCAAAAACATCATCTGTCCCGCGGTCCTTTCTGTATAATTTTCGAAGTCCACAAATTTAATCTGAATATTTGAAGATGAATTTTAAAATTCAAAATTTTGCTAAACCCTTTCAAAATTCTTAAAGGCGATGCTTGTGATTCAATGAACAGCACTGAATTACAGTTTACAATTTTAATTTAAAGGGGAAAAATTCGGGGCCTCAAAAAGTGTCTGTCCTGGACCGCAAGGACTGTCCACCTCTGCAATGTGGCCCTTGGCCGCAAAAAAAAAAACATTAATGTGGCCCTTTGATGACCACAGCTGTGTTGGGCAGCACTGGTTTATACTCTTCAAATAATCATGTGATGTCATGGAATACAAAATGTGGATACCTTACGTATCTGTAACCTCATAATAATGGCAATTTCGTGAAATGAATAATATACTAACAGTCATAAAATGAGTGGAACTCCTGGGATCATTTTAATAAACAGGATGAAAGCCAAATGCAAGTGTGATTCATGCAGTGCTATGATCTAAAATAGAAAAAAAAGTACAGACCGAAATCTGCATTCTTCTTGAATTTTAGTGCCGACAAAAAGAATTGCATGGTTAACCCGCAACCAATAAAATGAAACTTTTCAGGATGAATCAGTGCAACAATTCTCGTTGAACATAGTTGATATTTCCTTCTTGAAAATAAGATAAAACAAGGTAATACTGCAAGTATGTTTTGTCAATTTTAGCATTCAATTTTTAATCAGGTCTGCTTCGTCCCTCTCCATCAGCAGCTATACTGTATACAGTATTTATTTTACCGATAAATTTGTAATATAATTTTGAAGTTAATTGATCATAAAAATGAAAATTCGTATCTTTAGATTAGCTTCACGTTATTCGCCTAAATATAACGGGTCAGTATCAATCTTCGAATCTTTAAATTTGAAATATTTTTTTCATAATGGAGGTGGCATTTTTATCTTTTCAAAACTTGAACAAACACAGGGAAATTTAAATATTTCGTTTTCCTTGGCTGATATTCGTAATTATCTTCGTGAAAGATGATGCATAAAGATAACTTTTGCGAGTTCCACCTTCCACGGCAACCCTGAAGCAAGTTCAGATTGTGAAAAAGTTGCAAGAAACGCAGATTCTTGGAGCCGCCATTCCACAAATGACGAGAGGAAACGAGTACAAAGTTTGCCAAGTAAAGCCAGCTCAATTTGAATATAGTCGCTCAACTCTCTTCCGTCAGCATGTAGGAAAAAAATAGGCAAAATCAGAGAAAAGTGCAGCGATTCTCTCGTTGTCTTCTGGTGCAGCAGGTCGCACGTGTTGACAAATTGACTCTTTTCCATTGAACTACATTCGTAAAAGTGTCTTCGTCTTATTTTTTTCCAAGCAGTTCTGAGTTACGCTATGAATTTTATTAAGGCCTTTTGGAGGATTCCATGCAGAATAGACACGTTACCTCATCTTCTGTGAAGGAGTCGATCATGTTTGCGTGCTCGGGTGAGTCGATAATTGCAGCAGATTTCTCCCAGAAGCGAAGACGTCGTCGCCATGCGTTGAGCATCGGTTCAAACATCCCGGCGATGCGGACGAATGCAGCTGACATTGTTGCTTCCTCGTGAGAATGATGATGATGACCAGTCTCTATTGTAACCTTGAGAATTCAGAATTTTCCTTTAATTTCAGCATGATTTTTTTTTTCTAGAGAAACCAGAATTAGCTTGGTAACACTGATGGAGTTGGTATAGTAAGTGGTACATGACTGCGATGTCTTCGGGGATCCTACGTTTGAGGCCGATCAATAAATCGTATGTATGGGACGCATCAGACTGCACTTCGAATACAGTTTGAACCTCAAGAACTCAAAACTCCCTTGTTGGAATACCGCTATGCAGTAATGTATGTCCATTTTTTTCCAGTTCCTGCTGTCTAACTTTTTGAAGAAACAATGTATTAAAAACCTCATAACTAAAAGGTTTCCCCCCTCAAATCTCCATAACTCATATTTTTGGAGGCCTTTTGGAATTTCTCTTATTGACACAGGAAAGAGAGAAGCAATAAAAAGGTAACTTGATGTGTTTTGAAATGAAGTGTGAGTCTAATTGGGGAAATGAACCCTTGCATCCAAGTTCAGCATCCTGGCAACTCATTTAAGAAGCAATTGAACACTGGGAATATCACCATTTACAATTGCGAGCAATTCTTCTTTCTTTCCCTTAACAAAATTACTTGTCTCTCTAACTTAAAACCTGTCTAGATTCAATTTTTTTCTGGTCCCTTGCAGTTTGATTTTTAGAGAGGCTCAACTGTACATACAGTGTTGTGACTATTGTTTTAGTATGCAGGTTGATATGGTGACCAGCGAACTAATTAAAGCCTTCATTAATTTTGTTCAAATAGAAAGTTAAGAACAGAACACACAAAAAAGTAAAACGTTGCTTATTTCTCACCGACACAGGCTTTGAGTCGCTATTCGTCGCTGGAATCGTGCTCGCCATGCTGCTTTCTCCTGAGCTTTCAGTCTCATCCGATTCCTGCAATACGTTGTCAGCATTATTATTGTTGTATCAATAGCGTTGAATTCCGAAAGGAAATCAAATCTAACCATCGTTGAGTTTCCCGCTAGATTCGTTTCGCCATTCACTCTCGCGTCCTCTTCAACGATTCGTTTAAATACTGATTCTACGATGCCTTCGGGTGCTACGTAGCCGATTTCCATCAGACATTTCTCGCAGAGCTTCGAAATTACGCCAAAAGCTTGAGAATTTGAAAAAGAAGAAAATCGGTCACCACGATGCCGATAAATAGGAAATAAACGGTTATTTATGAAGTATTGTCGTTTGTGTCTCTGAATGAATGGTGGACTTCGCTCATTTGATGCCGTATTGAAATCCCATGCAAAAAGCAATATTGAAAATATGAATAAATTAGTCGAATATTGATTAATTAAATACATAAAAAAATTAGTGCACTAAAAAATTAAATACAGGTACATTAAAAAATTTAATACATTAATCAAATAATGATTCATTGAATAAATTAAAAGATTGATTAAAATATTACCCGAGTCCCACGGATATTATTAAGACCGAAACAAATCTTGAGAATGAGTAACCATATTCCCTCCATGGGCCTTCCTCAGGAAATTCAGACATTCAGTTATATTATTTGCTTCTTTTTTTTCCTGTTATATTATAGAATTTTACAACTCTGATACTTCCAGCTTCCTCATGATGCTTTGATAATCAATTTGATGGTTATCAAATAACACAAAATGTATTCGGAATTTAAGGAGAATCAAAGCTCAAATTCGAATTCCTGCGGGTTTATAAAGCTGCTTTGTTGCCTTTGATTTGGAATGAATTTAAATAATTGAAGGACATGCTTCTGTGCCCGAACAGGCTCGAATATAGGCTTATTACGCCATAAAACACGCGTTATAAATCAACAGTCAAAACTGTGTGACAAAATTTAAGGGACCAGCAAATTAAATCGACTTGGGAAGGTTTTGAGATAGAGAAAGAGGAATGTTTGTGCAAGGGAAGGAAAATAACCAAAGAAAATTTCAATCAGTGATACTGCCTATTTTGGGACTTTAAATTTACTGTACTTCATAAGTGAGTCGACAGGGCAGATGCGGAATGTGGAGGCAAAGGTTGATTTGCCCTATTATTCTTGAACTTGCTTTCAAAAATTGTCGGTCATTTTTTGTTGAAGTTCCCTCTGCGCTGATTCTACATACAATACATTAGTCTCGTATTTCCTGTTCGTGAAGTCCAATCAAAGGCACAATTTTAAGGATTGTTAGGGCTAACTGTGACTATAATTATTAGTTTGAGGTTCAGCTGGTTAGCTAGGCGGGAGTTCCTGTTGCTCTGCAACAAAACACTGTACAGTGCAAGTTTGCAATACTGTATATACTGATCCGAAATTATGCATATACAATATATTTTGCTCAAGCATCTGCTGGAAGTTCGTACTGTATATCTCATTTGCTTGCTGAAGCTTTTGAAGTTAATTTAAAACCTCGATTCTTTCAACTGTAATTCTATATATATATTTAATCCTGAGGTATGAAACTTTCTGTTGAATTGCGGAGTTTTCTGAAACTGACTGACGAAATGAATCATTTTTTTTAGTAAATTCCATCCATCGCCAATTTAATTATCAAAAAGTTTCAATTTATGAGAGGTCTTTACTGAAAGCATTTGGGGATTTCAAGGCGAACTAGCTTCGGTTGAACAGCAAAGAATATACTGTACTTTTACTGTTCTATCACGATGTTAAGATTGGATTTACTGCGCAGTAGAAATCCATCACAGCAGCAATAGTCGTTATAACAAATAATCGCTTACAAGTTTGTTTGTCCAATAGCCAAATTTTTTTTTAATTTTCGTTATCATAACGAATATATTTTATTGTTCCCGCCAAAGGCTTCGGGCTTTAAAACGAGCTTTTAGGGTACTGTATACAAATTCGAACTGCTACCAGAATCTTTGCAACGCAGGATTTTTTAGTACATGTACTGTATCACGACTATGCCACATACTCGAATGACAGCGGCGCAGTGGGGAAATAGACCAGTGTTCCCAAACCGTTATGGGTCCGCAGACCAGCAAATTTCCATGAATTCTCTGAGGACTAGCAAATAAAAAAAAATTGCGAACCAGCAAAGTTTCATTAAATTTGTACAGACTCAAGAAAGTTTTGTTTGAAAGACTTTATGGCAGGTACAGTATTGAAACATTTTCTGCTTTTTTGTTGCAAAAATCAAGTTAAAAACCAATTGGTTCATAAATGAAGCAGCTTTTTAGTGGAATATTTTCGAAAAAGGAGAACAGTAGGTTTTTGAGAATTAAGAATCAAAAGAATTTTTTTGGCAAATGAAAATTTGTCTGAAGCATCATTAGGAGAAATGCCAACTTTTATTTTCATCAGGTAAATTCAACTGCTAAGGTCTTTCTGAAATTTCAGATAATAAAAGATAACAGACTTTGTTGCTACAATATTTTTGTTGAATTTATTATATGCTGAAGAAATTTCCTGTGGACCAGCAAAAACTTCTGGTGCTGGTCCGCGGGCCACGGGTATAAGAACACTGAGATAGACCATTGTTTTGACAATATGCTGTACAGTATTTGAATCAAAATGAGTCACGCGAAATTATTCACCAACAGTAACCGGCAGGTCGTCATTATCTCCGATGGCAACATTCGGTGGAATCATCATAGGAAACGGAGATGGTGCCGCCTGCTGCATCCTCATCAGATGGGGAACTGGAACACAATT